CCAGGATGAGAGACATGGAGCCGAACAGCACACAGAGAGATGTTCAACTTCACTAGCGATCAAAGAAACGCAAATCAAGGCTAGAATGAGTTACCATGTTGCAACTTTCCAACTGGCAACATTGGAGGGGAAAACATTTTTTTAATGCTGAAAATGCCAAATGTTGGATTTATAGTATCTTCTCTACATTGCAGATGGGATTGTGTAATGACTTTGGAAAGAGTTTGGCATTTCCTCTTAAAGCTGAGTATTTACCTACTTTACAATCCAATGATTCCACACCTTAGAAATGAAACAGCAGAGGACATAGATAAGGATGATCTTAGCAGCAGTGTTCACAGCAGCAAAACCATGAAAACAGCCTAAATGTCAATTAGTGGAAGAACAGGTGAATAAACCATGATCTATCCATGCAATGGAATATTACACAATAGTCAAAGATGAATGAGGTGCAACAACGTGGAGAAAACTTGATGTTGTATTCTCTTAAGTCAACTCTGACTTACAATGACCCTAGATGACACAGTGGTAGGTTTAAACCGCAAGACTGGCAGTTCAACTCCACCAGCTGCTCCTCAGAAACCCTGTGCAGGGTCACTATGAATCGGAACTGACTTGACGGCACTTAACAACAACAACAACAAAGCGAGACACATATGTCCCAAGGGATCTCTGGCATTGGGATTGGTGGGCCAAGACCCAGTCCTGCACATTCTTGCAGTTATACAAGCTCCCACAAGATGACATCATGCACTACAAGTGGGAGAACAGCTTCCCACTAAACTCCAGAGGTGGGAAGTGTAGATGGGCCTATGTGTTCCTCGGGTTATGAAAGGGTTAAGGAAAGCATGATCTCTATACTCACCTTCACCTTCTAAAAATGTGAATGGTCCCACCCTTTTATTGTTAACTCTGACAATATTTTATTGTTAACTTGGAGTCAAGTCAACTCTGACTCCTCGTAGTGACCCCATATGACAGAAGAAGTGTTTCAGAGGGTTCCGAGGCTGTACTCTTTATGGAGGAATCCACAACTAACTCTCAGGGAAGCAGCAGTCAAGAAATTAAATGACATATTGCATTAGGCAAATCAGCTGCACAAGACCTCTTTAAGGTGTTCAAAGAGTGGTTTGAGGACCAAGGTGCACCTGACCCAAGCCATGGTATTTTCAATCACCTCATATGCATGTGAAAGTTGGACAATGAATAAGGAAGACCATAGAAGAATTGGTGCATTGAAATACGTATTAGAGAAGAATATTGAAAGTACCATGGACTACTAGAAGAACAAACAAATCTGTCTTGGAAGAAGCACGACCAGAGGGCTTCTTAGGAGTGAGTATGGCAACACTTGGTCTCTTATACTTCAGACATTGTTAGGAGGGGCCAGTTCCTGTGGAAGAACATCATGGATGAACTTGGAAAAGTGAAGGTTCAGCAAAAAGGAGGAAGAACCCCAGCAAGATGGACTGACACAGTGGCAGCAGCAATGAGCTCCAACATTGCAACAATGAGCCGATGGTACAGGACGGGGGCGAGGGGGGCAGTGTTTCCTTCTGTTGTGTATAGAGTCACTATGTGTCAGAACAGCATGAAACAACAATCTTTACAGAAGCCAACTGCCACATTGTTCTCTGGGAGAGAAGCTGATGTGCAAATCTGTAACCTTTCTCTTTTTAAAGTTTTCATTGTGAATTGAGTGATAGTTCTCAGGGAAGAACATCAGTTTTGCACTCAACCAGTATTTTGTTTCATTGCAATGATTACAATCACCACCATGCACCATCATTCACAGTATTTGCTTCTAGTCCCTCTTTTCTTTTTCTTTTTTATTTACAAAAAACTCACAGAAAATGTATATTCATATAAATGACTAAAGGGCACATTTTACAAGCCAGCCTCCTATCCACCAGCATCCAGCCTTTCTCGTTCCATGAGTCTAGAGTCCTCAGCTGCTCTGTATCTCCATGTCATCACCTCTGCCTCCATCTCTGCTGTCACTGCTTCTTTGGTCAGGATTCCATGCTCCACTCATCCTTATCCCTCTAGATGGTCCTAGGCTCCTCTGTTCCTGGAATGAAAGATTAACTACTCCCCCTTTTTGTTCCACATCTTCTACCTTTACAGTTGTGACAATTGCAATTAGTCATTATAACAATCATTCACTATTGAATCAAAAGAATCCTACCCCATCCTCCTCCATCCCCTTTCACTAGACCCATCTAGACAAGAGGAAAATGCTTCAGTGGGTATTCTACCTCCCCCAGCCTTGCTCTGAAACTAGCACACTCTTGAAAAACTTGTAAGTCAGCCACTTCATGCCTTTATAGTGCCCCCTTCCTCATTTTTGGTAGCCAGTGTCTAAGTTGTCCGTCCCTATCAACCCTGTGTACTGAGAAAATAGGCTTGATCCTTGATGTGAAGACTCCTTCCCTCTTGGTTGGAATTTTGAGTTACTTACTACATACATAAGCAAAGGTCAAGTTCATCAAATTGTAGCAATTTACACTTGCTTCCTGTATGAAACTTATTCATCTTCCTCTAGTTGAGTTCTGATCAGCAAGCCATCCAAGCTAGGTCAAATGGGTACTATCTGCAAGTTTGGGCTTTCTTGTACGCCTCCCCCCACTTCATAGCCAGCTGGATGCTTCACTCTCAGCTCTAGCCCCGCCCCCTCCGTTGGACTGTAATCTTTTGAGGAGCAGGTCTTTTCTCCTGTTGAGTGGCAGGTGGTTTCAAACTATCAAGTTAGCAGCTGGGTGCTGCTAACTTGACAGTTTGGATGTAGTAGCCATGACTCCTTGAATAAAATTTGATAATATTAAATAGAAAAAAACTCTAAAAGATTACAATATTCTAGGAGACTTCAAAAAGTTCACAGGTAAATGGATTAAAGGATTGTGGGAAATTTCCACAAACTTTTTGAAGCTCCCTCTTACATATTAAAAAAGCTAATATATAGCTATTTGCTTTCAGGAATACATAGACGTTTTTTGTTTGTATTTTTAATTCTGGAAAACAGGAAAACCAAGCACTGTGATCACAAGACGCAAGATAATGGATTCGTCTAGGTTAGGAGCAGAGAGGGACCACTAACTGCCAAGACCTTGG